CTGCAAAGCCAACTCACTAAGGCCTTACTCCTTCCACTTCACAAGCAACACAAGTTAGTCAAAGATAACTGGGAAGAAAGACAATGGCATCAAGTATCTCCTAGAAAATCTTTCCTCAATTTTAAGGTAATTCTAGAGAACAGATGATAGCACTAGTACTTCACAGCTACTAAGGGCTGGTTGACACTGTCCATGAGCAGGGAAGGAAAATTCTCTCGCCTAGTTCATCCAAGATTTCACACTTTCTTCTAAGGAAGTCTGTGCCCCAGGAGTTGAGCATTTTTCTTTTGTTGGCAGGAGCAATCTAGACTCTTATAATGTTTTTAGAGCTCACACTGCAGTAAGCCACACCTAATGCCATTCTGAGGAATAACACAGTCTATGAAAGGATGTCTATCAAAGTTTCTGAAAGAAAACGAGGCAAAACAAAGGCTGGAGGAACTGCTGCCTACTTTAAGATTAGCACAGAAGACCATTCAGTCCATGTATTTTGTGAATTACAGAGGGTAGGTATGAAAGCCTGAAAGAGCTCAAATAAGGAATAGGTACATGAAGACTTAGGACAGTTACATGTTCACAATCAACACGAACGTATAAAAAGATACAATTTTTTATGTAACAGATCAATCAAAACTGGAAGGAGCCAGTGGCTGCCTCACTTCATCATTACAAGGTTCAAACACTTCCCAGAAAAATCTGACACTTGTCAGTCTTGAAGACAGCATGCACAGTACTGTTCCCATATCAGATGTGATAAACTGTCATACTACAAAGTACAACATTTTTGTTGTTCTGATACCCAAACCTTCCAGCTGGACCAAGAAAGTAGGAGACTGGGATTTCTGCTGTCACAAAACCAGTCCAGAAAGAGTCTTTTGTAGTTTTCTGATAAATATTCCACTCATATTTTCAGTTTCTTTAAATCAAAGCATGAGAAAAAAAAAAAAATGTGCTTGGTATTGATAGACCATATAAATGCATTCATGAAACCAAACATGTTAAAAAATGGATAAAAAAGGAAGCCAGTACACAAACAGGAAAGCAGAAAAGCACAATAACGTACAGGGAGGCAGAAGTGCATAGAAGTAACAGGGCTACACAAATCATTCCTAAATTATAATCTTAATATGTATAATCATGTGGATCAAAAAAGAGATTAATCAGTCTCTCTGGTAGTCTACTCTACTACAAATCAATCCATCCAGCCTTTTCAAACAAGACTTCCTAGATTTAAATCACATTTTCTCTACAATTAATTTCTATGAATGAATGACTAAACCCAACAGATTTCCAAACTTTCCAACAGTTACATGTTTCAAGATGTTCTGGAATCAACTACACCTTTGCATATGCAAAATACTTTCTTTACTGCAGTGCTGATATACAAGCATGGATAGTAAAATATGGGGGAACCACCACTAGAGCTAACTCAGGATGAAGTTAGTATCCTCATTTATTGTTCTAATGCAGCAACAAAAAAAAAAGAAAAACCTCAAGAACTGAAGAAGACTTAAAAGAAAAGATAAATACACAGGAGAAAGAGAGAGCTGTTACATTCTCTGCCCTCTTTACAAGTACAGCAAGCTTCTGCAGGTTCCTAGGGCACATGGTCACCCAACCATGGCCTCCATGCCAAGCTGAGGTACTTAGAGACAAAAGATGTGACAAAACCAAAATAGTATTTTATTAGATCATGTATTTCTGAAAGTGCCCTGCAGTCAGTGACAGCATCTCTCACTATCCTCCCTTTCCTTTCAAAAGTGAGTCTGATCCAAGCCACAAGCACCATGAGCATTTGATGAGTTACTGCAGTTAACAAGACTGCAGTACACTGAAGAGCAGGAACAAACATGTCCCTGCCCAAGTCCAGGGGTCTGACTGGTCCTTTCTCCTGTGTGCAAATCCAGTTCATTTCAGGAGAGGTGAAGACAATTATTTTGTCTCTCAGTTCTTACTCTAACTAGGGTACTAGCTTCCATAAACAGCTAAGCCCCACAGAGAATTTCCTCGCCTGCACACAATATTCAGGAATCATACTTCACCATCTCATACTGGAAATCACAGGGAAGAAAATGTTTATCTACGCTGACTGGCCACACTTGCAACTGCCCTGTTGCCAGAGGACCTGAAAGGTGTCATTTCTTCACAGCTGTTTTCTGTGCTAATGATAGATTAAAAAGGAGCAAATAGCAAAATAAGACAGTGTACAGAAGTCCAGCTATAACAGTTTTTACTGCACAATGATTCAAAACTTAGCTGGACAGAAGCAGCTTATTTCATAATAACATGAAAATATTATGACAGTTTCAAGAACAGAGTTCTGGGTTTTTGTAAGAGATAACAGGAAAAGAAACTTTTAGCCTATTACATACTATTTCCACTTTATATTTTGAATCGACCTTTTAATACTTCTTTTATCTATCTTCTTTGTCAAGCATGAGGACTAAAACTACTAGAAAACTGCCCGAAGTTTCTAAGTTCAAGAGCTAGAAATTCAAGGCTAAAATAACTGATGTAAAAAAACTATGTGTGAGTAGATAAATTCTTGAGAAATAAAAGTGCAAATACCAGCAAAGTGGCTTGCTAATACCTATCCATGGAAGTAGACAGACAATTCAGGCATAACTATACAGTAACTGCATGAGATTCAGAAAAGAATGCAAGGAACTCTAACTGGAAAAAAACCAACAATCTTGACCACTAGCCTATAAAGCACCTTTGCACCCTTAATGACCAAGATAAATACATTGAGCATAAACATGTTTTTCTTACCTCATAAGGCAGTTTATCAAAATATCCGTTAGTCGGCCATTCCCTGAGGGCAACAATGTTGAACTGTTTATTAAGAGTGTCCATTCCACAGCCATACTTCTCTTCATCCTCATCTTCATCAATATCATTCATATCAATCATTGAAGTCTTAAGTGAAAGCACAGGTCTCTCTTTCACACCATGCAGTACTACTGCATCCAGTTCAGTGTAATAGTCCAGCAGGGAGCTGTTCACTTCCAGTCGGATTAAGTTTGTGGGGAAGTTTATCTGTTTGATACATGGTGTGAACTGCCGAGCCTGGGGACCGGTCACCTTTGTAGGTGCCTCGGACCAAAGGATTTCCCATCTGCGAAAGAAAAATTGCACACACAGACAGCAGAGGGATTAAAATCAAAGTTACTAAAGCAATTCCTGAACACAGTAAGAGTGCTTCTCTGTCAGAAGTATTTAACAAGTCAGAAACATTACTGAAAAGACAATGAAAATTGTGACGTTTCCCCCAGATTTGATAAATATCCTAAGGATGAATTTAACAGGGCACACTAATTCATGACCTCAGCATATTTTCTCTGCATTGCTAACTAACAAAATAAGCTGTATACTCACAGTCACACACTTGTGTTAGGCTACTTTAATTCATGCACAAGTCGTTCTAACATCTCGCAGGCAAGGCAATCGTAACGAATGGATTACAGAAGTCTCCACAATGATGGCGTGTTAGTAAGTATGCGGGGAACAGGCTTGCCATGTAACCAAAATATACAGCCAGCTGACCTCTCTTATTTCCCACAAAAGTTTTTCACAAAATACAAAAGAAAAAAACCCCACAGATCAGACTCTTTAACATCAAAGCTGTTCAAAATGCAGCATTGATTGCAAATTATTAAAAAAAAATATCTAAATTTTACTTTGTTTATCTGTCTAGGTAAGCAAACTATTCTTTTTAGAAGTAATTCACTGTCAAATTACCAAAGAAAACAGAATCTCAGAGTCATTTTTTTAATGGGTCATTTGCAAAGAACATTAAAAATTCTGAACTGCTAAACTGAGAAGTTTTTCTCCTCTTTGGTCCAGTGACAGGAGGTGGTTTAGGGCATGCACAGAGCTTCCATACATACATCCCATCTTTCATACACAGACCTCAAGTCTCCAACTGCTGCCAGTTGAGTAATCTAGAGAATCAAGTCTGACATTCATTACGTCTTGAGCACTCCCAAAACTGTCAAAAGGCCTGAAAACAGAAACATGTTCTTTACATCTGCGTGACTCCTGATCCAGTGAATGGATTTAGAGGTCCTTCAGTCACCAATGCCCATCTTTCCTTCCCTCAAGCCCTGTTAATTCCTACAGAAGGAAGCCTTCAGCAGCCACTGCTGCTACCCTCTTTGACAGTAGGCTTACAGCGATCTCTGCATCCCATCTGCAAAACCCAGACACTTCTACACCTTCTCCATCTCCTTCCAATCACCCTAGTCCCAGCTTCAAGGATTTCTCTCAGGCTACTTCTCCTGTCATGCAGGTCTCAAATATTGTATCTGCTCCCAAGTACCTCAGCATCTCAGCTTTCCCTGCCAGATACCACTACACTAAACTTACGAGTATTGCTCAACACTGACACATACTGCAAAACACATAAGGAGGAAAAAAAAAACAATTAAAAAAAAAAAAATCAAGACACATTTCATTTTCCAGAACCAAATGCTTAAACTTTGTCCATCATGACAGAAAGCAAATAAATGTCAGGACTTTCATTGAAACATAGCACAGAGTATAAATAAAGCTTAGAAGCTTGATATTTGCCACCATTTCAAGGATAGGAAAATTAATCTGTATCAGCTGAAACTTCCATTTCATGATGGACATTTTCAGCTATGCACAGATAAATTTTCCTGTCCTACATCATGCCACTCTCCACAAATACCTTACAGTAGAATGAGAGGCCTGCAGAAGTCTTCTGTCAAAGGAGGGAAAAAAAAAAGTCATGAACTAAAAACAAACATGCAGGACTGGAGAATATATGGCACATCACAAAGTACCAGTGTAGGAGAGTGGACAACTCTACCCCAAGGTCAACAGTTTTGATAAGACAGACTTATTACTAAGAGAAGATTTAAATCATTTAGGAAATCAATGTCAACCCATGACAAGTAGTAACAGATGTAGTCCACTGTCATGCCCTCTCGCACAGGTCGATTCCCTAAGCAAATACTTCATGTTGGCAATGCACATGACCTTTCTTGAATACATCCAGATCACCATCTGACATTTTGCCTAGACACTTTCATGTACCCACTCAAACTATCCTTAGGGAAACTCAAGGCTATTTTTTCACTAATTTAGCACACATTGGACCATCAACTTTTAACAGAATGTGTCTCAGTTACTGACTTCTCCTTTGGTGCCCTGGAGAGAGGATTACTTAGCAGTAGCAGAGCTCTGGAAAAATATAATTCATCTGGAGGTCTAGGTTTATCAGATTGAAGATTAATAACCTCCTTCAGCAAGCAGTGTCTCTAGTTCCCAGTCCTTGTAATAAACTAGAGAAGACTGAAGAAAAGACACACAGCATAACTTTTTACAGTCTTGTGAAACTCCACATTACATACCAAGTGCAGACCAACAAGACCAGTGACTATTTTCCACTGTCCTCATCACACTGTTTTCTTTTCATCAACAGTTCACCAATCTAACTACAAAGGAGTTTGCTGTTGGCTATCAGGTTGATTTGATGCTCTTCTCTGCCTTGGTGGCACCACACAAAGAACAAGCCATAGCAAATGCCCCGAGTCAGGGTTGGTATATTCTTCCTGAGTGTAGTCATACTCTTAATACATCCATTACTGCAATTGGAAGTGGTCTCTTCATTGAAGATCAGCACTTTGAAACTTAAATGGGCTACATGTAATCTGAAACGGAGTAAAGACTCCACAGCTGGAAATGGATCAAAAAAAAAATAATCTAAATTTCCAAGAGGCTTCAGTAACAACTACATTCCTCTGTTCTGGAGCATTTTTTTCTTATGGCCATCCATTTCAAAAATCCTTTGGAAGAAAGGCATTTTGACAGTCAGTCCTGGTTTGAGAGTGCATACTAAAATCAGCTTCCCTAACGAGGCTTCCTACATCTGTTAAGATGCTCAATAAACTATTTAACCCCAAACAAAGAAAAACTCAATCCCAACAAATACCCGTAAAGAAGTCAAATAAATTTTCCTTCTCCCTCCCACTTTGAGTTAATTAGGTAGCTCTCAAAAAATCAACCAGAATCAAATGACTGCAGGTAGGAAGGCCATGGTTTGTCCTCAAGTCCTACAGATACACAGTAACAGCTGATCAAAGACATTGCAATGAAAGTGTTTTCACGGGAATGTTTCATCAGCAATGCACTAGAAAACCTCAGTCTTTACACTGCCATGCAAAGCTTAAATGAGAGGCAGTAACATCTGTATTATTTTCTACAGTGATTGAAGAAAATTAGAACTTTAAGTGAAATTTTTCCATTCAGCTTTACTGGGCTCAGTTTTCCCATTAGATTTCTCTCTGCCTCATGAAGACATAAAAATAAAATTTCTGCTCAAACGTCTGGTCCTAAAGACTGCATATACCTATGTGGTAAAAAAAAATAAATAAAAAATTCCCATTCTCCTTCCCTCAGCGTAAAGGAAAATACAGTCTAGGGATTTTTTGGCTGAGAAACATACTTGCAAGGTTTGTGTCAAACGAGAGCACATATTTAATGCTTGTTTAATTTTCTGTTGACCTAGAGCTGTTGGAAAGTTTTTTTAATGGCTAATATGATGCCTGAGTAGACCTGGTTACTTCTGAAGAAAATACATAAAAAGAAACATTCTTTGGAAAA